GACTTGGTACTTCGTTCAATATCCACTGTATGAGGGAGTAGCGGTTGCTGGCCAGTAACAATCTCAAAAGGACTCTTATTGGTGGAAGAGCTCTTTTGGGCATTGAAGCAAATTTGGGCCGCATCCAAAAGTTTTACCCAGTTTTTCTGCGAAGTAGAGATAAAGTGCCGAAGATATTCTTCTAGCATAGAATTGAAGCGCTCCGTCTGTCTGTCAGATTATGGGTGAAAATTGGAACTCATGCTCAAAGTTGAACCAAGAAGTTTGAACAACTCAGTCCAAAATATGCCAGTGAAATGAGGATCTCGATCACTGACAATGTCCTTAGGCAGCCCCCAGTATTTGACAATATGTTTGAAGAAGAGTTGAGTTGTCTCTTCCGCAGATACATACTTAGGCGCTGCAATGAAAGTTGCATATTTTGATAGACGGTCCACCACGACAATGATAGTACCAAAATCCTCAACTTTTGGCAACCCAATAATGTAGTCCATCGATACACTTTCAAATGGCCGGGTTGGAACGGAAAGGGGCTCCAGCAAGCCCGCCTTTTTCTTATGATCTGCCTTATCTTGCTGACAAATAAGACAAGTTTTTACATATGTTGCAATGTCGTCCAGCATTTGAGGCCAGTAGTATGCACGTTGTAGTAGTGCACAAGTGCGTTCCTCTCCGGGATGCCCCGCCCAAATTGTGTCATGGCATTTCGTAATTAGTGATTTCCTCAGATCTCCACCCTTAGGAACATATAGGCGGTCTCCCTTTGTCTTCACTAGTTTTCCATCTAGCCAGAACTGTCGAGTTTTACCCTGCTTGATAAGGTCGACCAAATATTGGGTAGCCGGGTCCTCCATAAGTGCCCGAATTTGGTCTTTAGTGTTCGTGGAGACTGCGCTCCCTGAAAGAGCAGCTACAGAGCAGGTAGCTAAATCGGCCCGTCGACTAAGAGCATCAGCAACATGATTACTAGAGTCGGGACGATACTCTAACATAAAATTGAACTCCGAAAGGAATTCCTGCCAACGAACCTGTTTGCTCGATAGTTTTGGTTGGGACATAAAGTGACTAACTGCAGTGTTATCTGTCTTCACAATAAATGGAGGCCCAAGCAGATAGTGACGCCATCCCCTGAGACAATGGATAACTGCTAACAATTCCTTTTCATGTGCCGAGTAACGACGTTCTGTCTGGTTTAACTTTCGATTCTCATATGCTACCGGATGTCCTTCTTGCATGAGGACTCCACCAAGGGCAAAATCTGAAGCATCTGTATGAATTTCGAATGGTTTAGCCATATCCGGTAAGGCTAAAACCGGGTTCGTCCATATGGACTTCTTCAACCTTTCAAAAGCAGCTTGGCATTGGGATGACCAATCACAATCCTTATCCTTCTTTGTCAATTCAGTAAGGGGCAGTGAAATTTCTGAGTAGCCTTTCACAAATCTTTGATAGTAATTGCATAACCCAAGAAATGAACGTACATCATGTACGGTTTTTGGTGGTTGCCAATCTTTGATGGCTGTAACCTTTTTCGAATCCATGCGAATTCTGCCTTGTTCAATGATGTGACCCAAGAAACTGATAGATGTCTGAGCAATTGAGCATTTAGACGGCTTAGCATAAAGTTCATTCTCTCGTAGCCGATTAAAAACTTGCCTCACATGCTGGACATGTTCCTCCAATGTCTCGTTGTAGATTACTATGTCATCCAAGTACACCACGACAAAATCATCTAAGAACCCGTGAAGTACCTGATTCATCATAATACAAAATGTTGCTGGAGCATTTGTCAAACCAAAAGGCATCACCTTAAATTCAAAGGCTCCATATCTGGTTACCACCGTAGTCTTTGCTTCATCTCCCTCCTTAATCCGAACTTGCCAGTATCCGGATTTAAGATCAATTTTTGTGTAATACTTCGCCCGACTCAGTCGGTCGAAGCAATCTGCAACCAGTGGGATAGGATAGCTATTCTTTACAGTAATCTTGTTCAGGGCTCGATAGTCACAGCACATTCTAAGAGAACCATCAGTCTTTTTCTGAAACAATACAAGAGCTCCGTATGGCGACTTCGCAGGCACAATGATTCCACTCTCCAACATTTTCCCCAACTGCTTCCTAAGCTCTTCAAGCTCAAGCTGAGACATACGGTATGGTGCCCTGGCGGGAGCTTTAGCGCCTGGAATAAGTTCGATCTCATGATCAATCGTCCTTCTTGGTGGTAATTTCTTTGGTAATTCTTCCGGCTTGATGTCCTCAAATTCCCGAATAAGCCTTTTAACGGGTTTTGGAATAGGACCATTCGCCTCTTCGACCTCCTCTAATCGAAGAGTACACAAAAAAGAGGGTTCATTTCTCTTGAAAACTTTACTAAATTGCATCGCTGAGATACTCTTCTCGCCCATCCTCCCAACATGTGTAGGGATGACACACGGCTTATTACTCATCATCATTAACGAATCGGAATATGGCAACACTGCTGTCTTAGTATCTTGAAGAAATTTCAATCCCAGAATAAGCTTGAAATCATCCATCTGAACTGCAGATAAATTTGTCCTTCCCTCGAAAGGACCTGCTTTGATCAACACCGATTTCGCCACTCCAGTTATTAGTTGAGCAGCGGAGTTGATTGCTTTGACTTTTTCACTACCCTTTTCTAGAATGGATTGCCTACATAATGGTGTCCATAATTACACATGGCACTGGATCCAACTTTTAATTCAAATCTCACACTTGCACGTCAACAACCGAATAATTGTCACATCATATTATGGACATCATTATGTGCAATAATTATGTACAAGTAAAATTTTCTTTTCTATAAACTACTTAAAACATTAAGCCTTTGGCCCTACAAATACGAGCCTTCGCTTCTTCCATCTTTACCTCTTTCAATGGGACATCATCCTTTTCAGCAACCCGATGCGATAGTGTGTTGCACCGATGTGAAAATGCCCCAACTACTTCCTCATCCTCTTCAGAGTCAGTCTCATTATTATAATTAGCTTGCGGGACCTCTTGTTTTGAACTTGGCCCGCCACTTGCTAATTGACAATATGCATTCACTATCCGCTTTTGAGGACACTCCGACACCCGATGAGGTCCTTCACATAAAAAGCACTTCAATTTGAGAGTGGCATCAGCTCGGCCCTCCGTTGCTTTTCCTTTGTTCCAGTTGTTACTATTACTGTCGTTAAAATTTTCCTGACGGCTGTTATGATAATTTCCCTGAAAGCCACGGGTGCTTTGATAGGCTCCTTCTCTATTTTGAGAGTAGCGCTCTCCCCCATTTGGGTTCGAGCTGGGTCTGTAAGATCTGTTACCACCTCCAATTGCTTGATTACTCCCCGAAGGTCGATCTTTTCTAGATTCTGTTTGGTAGTCGCTCAAGCATTCAGCGGCTCCCATGGCCGTGCTTAAATCAGTAACCTTCTGTTTTTGAAGTTCCGTGCGTGTCCACGGTTTCAACCCTTCCATAAAGGTGAAGAGCTTGTCATTTTCTGACATATCTCGAATATTCAGTATATGCCCTGAGAAGGATTTCACATACTCTCTGATAGAGCTCGTGTGTTTCAGGTCTCGAAGAGCCCGTCGAGCCTAATACTCGACATTTTCCGAGAAAAACTGTGATCTGATCGCTTCCTTGAGGAGATCCCAAGAATCAATTCGAATCCTGTGGGCCTGAATGTCCGCATATTTTGTTCGCCACCATAGTTTTGCATCTCCACCCAA